ATCTGAAAAATATTTTTATACGAATTTTTATACAAGAATACAAATTTAAATAATGAATAAAGTGCTTGGGGATTGGGTGGGTGTTTTCTTATACAAAGGTTTTGTAGCACGTGGCCATTACCATTGCCACGTCGGATGCTGATGCAACCAACCGAGGTTGGCACGTGACCGATTGCATCTCGACACGTGCGAGCGTACCTACGAACGCAAATGGTCCGCGAGACAAGGACGCTGGTTCTCGGAGAAAAGGAAGTTTAAGACGAGGGGCAAAATTGTCATTTTAGTAGGTGCTTACATGGAATTGATTGAGCTTGTGTAATATAAATTTTATAATGGTCGACCTCTTTTTTTATTAGATAATCAAATCAATATTGATAAATGTTTGAGGTTTAGCTTTTAAAATGAGCACTTGAAAAGAAAAGATGAGTTTGGCTTTTGAAGTTTATAAAATAAAATATATTTTAAGACAGAATTCGTATTTTGTTCGAAACTTGTTTTAATATTCACCAATGACAGAGATGAGATGTGCAGCACCCATTTGTAATCTAAAGGAGCCAGATAGCTTTGTTTAAATTATTATTACAATAATTAATCAACGCAATTACAAAGCTTAAAATTTTTAATTGTGTTGCATGTGCTCGAAGGTTTACTGGATTGAGTGAATTAATTTTGTGCCATAACTAGGAGCACTTATAATATTGCAAATAGTAAAAGAATAATCATTTTCATAATTCTTCTTATGTAAAGATAAGAGACAATTCTTTTCAGACTCAAATCAACAAAATGATGACGATCATATCTCGCAATTGGTACCAAAGAAAGTACATAAAAATGTTTAGAGGTTGAACTTATTAAACTTTTTTATATATTTTGTAAAATGTTTCTGTAAACAATAAAACAATGTTAAATTTCTTGTGCCGTATATCAAAACGTTCATCATTTTTCTTCAAATGACAATAGTTTAATTTTTCCATATGTTTCTCTGTAAAATATATAAATAAGAAAAGTTCTAAACAAAAATAATCCATTATTCATGAATGTACTAATTTACTAGAAAATGGTGTACGAAGTAAAGATGATGACTAAGCTTAAAACCTCAACAACCATTATTATT